AGAAAATACAGATATAAATAATCGTGACAAACGACAAATACGTAAAAATCTAGAAAGGAACAACGCCGCGACTGTCATACAAAGCCGTATGTATAAAAATTATAATCTGCCATCTACAATTATACAATAAATCGAAAATACATAACAAAAAATATAATTGAATTTTTATAGACTTTCGAGGTTACACTATTCGTAAACGGTTTGGATACGATCTAGAAGAGCGTTTTAAAAGGATTTTGAACAATTATGACAACATATATGATGGTCACAAGGCGTTGTTGCGCGAAGGACTAAAGCACGAAGATGCAGCTCTTATCGTTCAAAGATGGTACAAAAAAGAAGAGAAACTAGTCAGAACAAAATCAGCCGCGAAAGATGCCGTACATCCTAAACTACGACAAGCAGATCTAATTCAATTTTCTCAAAATGTAATTAAAAATTTAGTTCCGAAATTAATACAAAAAATCTTTCATTTCTTTTTACTTAAGTTCAATTCTAACTTTTTATTTAATATTAAGAAACCATATTAATTTGATTATGTTATTAATTGTTATTTGCGATCTTTCTATGGATAGGTACATATGAAGAACCAAGAGGTACACAAAAACCTTCGTCGCAACAAACCTGGTATCAGATTGAGCGATATCGAAGAACCGCCGCTTGATTACGTTCGTCCTGAAGGATTTAATATGGTGCAGTCAATATTGCAGTATCGCAGCGGAATGCAGCCGCATGAGGAAGATAGTGTCAAATACTATCGGAATCTGAAGGAAGAGATGAGCAGGTAGATATATACATATATACATAAATCGAGGTGTGTTGTGCTTTGACTTGGTGCCGCGAACGAATCAGAAATTTAAATGTTCAATTTTCGAATGCTTTTGACACTCGCATCGCAAGTGGTTCAGAATTCGAAGACGACGAAGTTGGCTGGGACTCGCCGTTGATACGGCTAGAGAATGACCTTCACTCATCGTCGAGGTACACCGTAGACTTGGTCAACTGTATATTTGTACTAATTTATTCTGGTTACGCTATGTATATGTATATTTCCTAGCTGTTATTTACACGTATTGTAGAAAGCAAGAGAATGCCAAAACACATGCCTGAATTTTTAAATTATAGAAAGAACTTTATTAAACGCTTTTTTTAAAGCTCCAGCAAAGATTAACTCAATAGAGTTAATCTTTTTCAAATTGAATAAAAATTTTAATTTCTATAACCTTTTTCTTCCATTCTAGCATTTTTTTGCTTATACTCATGTTTAATCTCATAGTCAGATGCAGTGGTTCGTTGATGTGCTATGTTAAATTTAATCTATATATATTGACGTAAAACGAGATTATTCTCATATAGAAGTCGGAGGGGTCATATTCTGGAGGTGAGTGCCGAGAGGAGGGATCGTACAGTTCAGAGCGATTTCGTAGTGGCACCAGAGCAGCATCTGTCAAACATTTGGCACAAAGCCCTGAGACATTCATCCGATCTACGCGAAAACGAGAACTCCAAGAAAAGTGTCAGGTAAGAATTGCACCAAACGTATGTTTGCTATAAATTTCTTTTACTATAATTTGTACATTTCGTACTAATTTATAATCCTAATATTACTAATTATAAAATTAATTTAGATTATATTTTAATAAATATATCTAATAACGCACTAATCTGGCATTTTTATCTCCTTATGTACATTGCCAGAGGCATTATGGTAAATTTTCAGGTAAAGATATAAATTTATTCTACCGCTACTCTTTTATATGCATGTGTATGTACATATACATATATATAAAAATCTTGATGGTTTTGTAATTCGTGAATAATTTAATCTTAATTCATGTCTAATCTGTCTTAGATATGTTTTTTTTTAACTTTTTCTCAAAAGCGAATTTTTAAAAAATTAATTTTTTTCAGTACAAGGGATAATGACCTGCGTAACAAGAACTTGCAATCACACACGAGCGGACAACGTGCAACCGGTTCTCCGCATATCCACGATTCACCTGGTCTACGACTCACGATCGACGATCGACATAACGCCGTAAACGAACGGCAGAATGTCTTTAATTTCGTTAATGATCATCATAACTCCATTAACGAGTATCACACATCGATCAACGACATATCGATCAACAATCATCAAACTCCTTGTAAAATAAATAATGGCATGGCAAAAAACCAAAAAAAAATTTTGAATACTGAACAATCTGAATTAAATAACGGCTTGGTAAATATTAAATTAGAAAAGACGTCAGATCAATCAAATCATAAGCAAAACGGCTATTCGATGAAAAATCATCAGAATAACGTCGATCATAAAAATGGTATCAACCGATTAGCGAATGGAAAAGCGACGAATCAGGAAGAGCTCCAAAACGATACGTTTATCGCGACTAATCTCAGGCAACTTCTAAGGCCGACAGTGATTGAAAAGCGACAGGAAAGTGTCGAATATGATACGGAAGATATTAACGGTCCTTACAATTTTAGACAATTGCTAAGACCAACCGAGTATCTGCCGACGGAATCTTTAAGAAAAAGGAAAGGAGGAATCGTTTCTAACGGAGTGCCACTGCCGAAGGACAAGGTTCCAGAGAAACACGTTAAGAGAAGAGCGCCGTTGGCGCCGACCCACAATAAATTAGCAAACGTAAAAAAGTAATGTTGTTTTGTATTATTCAACGGAAATATCCGTTTTTAAAATTTAATTTCACGAAGGATAATTTCCTTTTTACGACTAATACCAAAATACCTGATACCAAAAGCCGCAGTTAATTGTTGTAAAATACAAAAATTTCTTAAGTTCTAAAAGTTCTAAAGACACGTGTATGTCTTTTCTGTTGATATGTATACATATTGTATAAGTAAATTAAAATTCTATTATTATTGCCATTTATACAAAAAAAATCTATTATAAAACTTAAATACTATTACAGGATAATCGTAGAAGATTCAATATACATTTTACATAGAATATAAAGCGGATAATTATATGTTAAGGACGTATCATATTAAATTGAACAATAGAAATAGTATAGGTATATAAGATTCAATAAATACTATATATATCTATCGCAGTATGCGTATTATATGTAAAATGTAAATACTTGCCAACAAAAGTACTAGTATTTTACATGCAGCGAATATATGCAATGTGCAGTTCATATGAAATATTCTATTGAAGTTCTACCCTTTTAAATGCAACTCCGCATTTATTATATATTCTTTCTTCTTGCAAAAGTACAAGTGTCGTATATTGCAAGAAGCTTGCGCAATCTCAAAATCTGACAAGTTTTCTTTATGGCTATGGCTAATCACGATAAGTATTTACAACATTCGTATAAAAATAAAAATAATATATTTCGCGATAATTTATCTTGAAATCTTGAATTGACAAAGATTAAACACTCTAAATATAAAATTTTATGTTAAATTAACTCATATATGTTGCAAAATGTAATGACACAAGAGCAATGTTCGACGAATCATGTTACGTTCGAGTACATTGCTTTGTAGCATAATTTATTACCCTCGTTATAAAAATATGTATGAATTAACACACGTCTAGTCATATCTAGCTTTATTTAAGTTATAAGTGTTTATTATTTCTTTAATGTAGATCTCTAATGTGAATAAATCAAGTTCATTACACATTTCTCTCATATATGATTAATTAATAATTAATTTATACATACATTCAAAATAAATAATTGCAGTTGTTATTTAGCAATAAATTTCCAACTTATTTATCTAGAGAAAGAAGAAAGAAGCCTACTCTATAATCATATCCTGGAGATTGAATTTATCTTCTGCAATACAATGGATATGTCTCATTTTTTTAATTTTGCTCCATTCGATCTGCGGTTTTCATTTTTTCCCTTTTCTTTTTTAATTTATTATAGTTTATATACACACACACACATACATATACTAATATATAAATTATTTTAATAATAACTGAATTTTATTCTTATTTTAATAATAAATGAATTTTATTTGTCAATCCCCGATGCGAAAATTTGTGATTCAAGTATATTTATCCTATATTAAAATTGGCGTGTTATCTGCGTTGAAGCCTCTTTTCCCCAATGTTTAAAAATTCGTATCTTCCAGAAAAATAAAAATATCGACTTCTTTCTGGGCTTATCTTAAAGATGAATTATGTGGCTATTTTCTAAAAAATCGTGATTTTATTTAAAAATGGCCGATTCAATATGGCCGATTAAAACGTCATTTTATTGAAAATTGTTAAAATTTGTTTAATTAAAATGTAATTTGGTATAAATGTTATTGGACGATGTATGGAGTGTAATACGCACCGTGCGTAAAGCGTCATTTTTTTGAAAATTTATTTTTTATCAAAAATTGTTAACATTTGTTTAATTAAAATGTAAATTGGTATAAATGTTATTGGAAGATGTATGGGATTCAATACGCAGCGCGCGCGAAGCGCGCGCCTGTTATGTACTAGTCACAATAAATACTAAACTAAATGCAGATCGCGGTAGACTCTCGGTAATGCATTATCAATTAATTTGACAGGTTTTTCAAGTTAATTTTACATTCTCTCCTTTCTGCTTTCGAAAGTTCAGATGTTTAACAATATCCTACAACTTTGATGTAACTCTAAATTACTGGCGGTCGTCAACGACGACATCGACAAAGAGCGTTACGCGAGGAACCAAGAGATGGCTAAGCTAGGAGTTGCGACGTCGCGACGCCCGGCGCACCGGCGCGGCGTCCGGCGTCGGCGGCAGTAGTTGCGTCGGCGTCGCCGTCGTCGTCGTGCGACGTCGCCCTCGTCATTGCCGGCTCGAGCACGGGGCTCGAAGACCATTGGTTGGCTCGTAGGTAGAAGGGTGTCTGGTGGCTGTCAGCGACGGCAGCGGGGGCGAGGGTTGCAGTCGTGCCGGGCACGCGGGCGGGGGTAGGAGGGGTGCAACGAACCCTCTCGCCTCGGCTCGAGTCTACGGAGCACGGAGTTGTGTTCGAATCATGGCGACACCCGACCCCGTAGACCCAGCCACCCTAGAGATTAAGACCCGTAGCATAGAACAGACACTACTCCCACTAGTGAAACAGGTAAGACGTGTTTCCGCGTGAAAATGCGGCAACCAGAGTTTTCATTCGCACCGGCGGCGCGCCGTCTCTTTCCATCTGTCTCTTTCTGCCTGCATCTTTCTCTCTCTCTCTCTCTCTCTCTCTCTCTCTCTCTCTCTCTCTCTCTCTCTGCCCCACTCTCCCCTCGCTTCCCCATCTCGCAGACCATCCTTCTTTCTCTTTCGCCGCGAACTCCATCTGTCTCGCGCTCATTCTCGATCTTCATTCCTCTCGTGCGACGCCTCGCGTATCCGGCACCCCCGCGTCACGTTGCGCCTCCTATTCGTATACGCTCCCTAACAGATTGAGATAATTTCTCAATTCTCGGAGTTACTCCCAAGTCATTCTATCTCGCTGCTCCAATCACGCTTGCTATGCACGAGCTATACGCGATCCGATGCGCCCGTTGTACAAGGATCGAACATGAGATGTTGAGTGCGTGTACGTGTATACGGCGCAACGGCGCGGCGCCGCCGCGCCGGGGAGGTCGAGACGCACAGCGCCGCATGACGAAAAACGCGAGACGTGAAATGGGTACGCGTGCACCGCGATGCGAGAGAGATCGAACAGTGAATCGAGCTGAAAAAGTGAGATCGAGAGAACAACTTATTAAAACGGTGATATAAGACGTCTCGCGCTCCGCTGACGCCACTCCGAAACTAGAAATAGCGCGATTCCCACGCTTTTGCTCCGCTTGTTCGACGTAGTTAAATTTTCGCAGATCATTTTTCTCTTCGAAAAATGCCTCCTCTCGTAATCTCACATCACCAATAGTTCCCGCAAAGCTATTAAGCGCATTCGAAACGTAAGGATATGTATGATACAAAATTTGACAATTCTGATGTCAGCCGAGTGTCCAATACGTGCAACTTGTCACGAGACGCACGCTGCATACAGAGTATTTACGGATATTTCGGTGGTTCACTATCTTTGTCACCCTTTCTCCTCTCTTTCGCTCCTTCTTCCGCTCCGTCCGTCTGTCTCGCACTTTCTGCACACACTTCTCTTTTTCTTCCGCGTTGCTCACTTCAGCTCTTGTGGCGCACGCTCACCTTACCGCTTGTCGACGTCGACACCGGCGTTTTCGTGAAATTACGTTGAATTTACGCTGCACCCTTGTTGCATAATCACCGGCACGTGCGCGATGCACGCACGCGAGCCATATACACAGATCTGCAGTTCACGGGTCAAGGACCTTTAAATGACCGCTCGCGAAGAATAAATCGCTCTGCTCGGCACGATTGAGGAAATTTACGCGAAAAAGATATGCAACATGTAAAGTTAAAAATTAGAAATATCTTGTTTCGTTTCTTCGAAAGAAATTCGATTAATTGAAAATTAAACTGAATTTACCTTGCATATATTTTTTACATACGAATACTTTGCAAATCGTGCGAATATCGAAATGTTCACAATTACTTGCACGCAAGATGTAAATCAATACTTGCTTAGTACACGGTTGAAATTGCGGTTTATTTTGCTTAAAGAGTATTAATTTTAAATAAAAACACTATAATTGCACAATGCACCGCATGCAGTAGATTGTACTTACATTTATAATCTATATACATAGATATGTATACATATGGATAATTGACTCAAATGTCGAAATCATGAACGTGTTCAATTAAACAGCGTGTATTTTGCTTCGTGCATACTATATCGAGAGAACTATTTCATTATCTCATATATATCCAATAAAATGCATTACAGCAAATTATTATTAAAACAACAATATATGCGAATTTAGTATTAACGGCTATATATATGATTGATATGTTTAACTGAAATTAACTGTATCACTGAATGCTAAAGAGAAATTTCGTAATAATCGCAATGTATTCAGAGAAAGAGAAAGAGACAAAAAGAAGCTTTATCAATTTCAAAAATATAAGTTTTTATAATTGTGATTTAAAGGAAAATTCGAAACATCTTCTATAATTATTTATTTCGATAACGAATATATCCATCTACAAATAAGAAACTCCTAGCTGTTTTGGAAAGCTTAAAAAATCGCAATCCATTCCACGGTTAATCTTGTTAAATAAAACAGAGATCAATCTAATTTACGTTTTCGTAAAGCCAGCCGTGCCCAAAAAACCGAATTACGCGGACCGATTCCTGTCATCGCGCGCGCAAGAAATTAATTCGGTTAGAGCTCGATTCACAGAAAAGAATTATTCTTCTAGAACGAATCAAAATAAACAAAAGTCGTGGTTCGAATAAATTCTGTTTTTCTCTTTTCTCATTAGAGTTGCATTTAATTTAACAATTAGAGATATCGCTATTAAGAAAAAGATTAGAAAGGAACAGTGGAATAAAGAATGACAAAAAGTCGATAGCTTCGTAAATACATATCGATCGAATCGCCTGACGCGATAATTATCATCGATAAAACGAGAATGCGCGGCAGCAAGACTGGAGTAAAACGAAGAACGGAAAGGAAATAGACGGAGGTTATTTCGAGAATGAAAGAGGGGTGCCGATCACCGCTCGTGGCCGACCTTCGTGTCATGTTTATCGATATTTCTGGCTATGTAGCAGAGTATGCATACGGGCGCACACCTGTGTGTGTATACGTGTATGTGTTAGTTAAACTCCTCGGGTTAGAAGGGCGTGCAGTACGAGTGACTTGGCTGGTGCATCGCACAGAGGGCGATCGTTACGAGTTGCAGCCACTTGTTAGAGCTCCGTCTAGCTGCCCCCGCTCATATCTCCGCCCCCTCCTTTCTTCTTCTCGCTTCTTCTACTTTCTTATCACCTTTCTTCTACTTTTTTGCCCTTACTGCTATTTCGCCTTTAGCCTTCGTAGGGCTTTAAGCCGCTTTCTTGGCGATTTCCGTCACGATTTCGCCTCACGTTGGATTTTCTATTGACCGTCGCTACTGCCTTCGTGAACACCTGCGTATCTCGCGCATTTCTGCGACCTCGGCCTTCTGCATGCGCAACGTTAAAAATCGTCCTCGAATATATGAAGAAATAAGAGATTGTACTTTAGTAAGCAAAGCCATGGCTCTTCTAGAAAACGTTAAAAATATCAAGGAAATTCAGAAGTTTATAACTTCTGATTAAATCGTCTCTTGACTACATTGTCTTGTCAAAATGATATTTCTCCGAATCCAAGTTTTATCCTTTAAACTTATATAAACGTGTATAAAATTTTAAAGAACTCTGTTAAAAGATGTTGAATCAATTTTCTAACAATTATAGACACTCAAACATCTTAAATTAAAATATATGTAGATAGTACTAAAAATTTCATTTCTTGCATTTTTGCAGAATAAAATAAAAGAATTAATTAATATAGATAAAGGCGATTGTTATCTCATTAACAATAATTATGAATATACATGTGTATGCACGCATATTCATATATATAACAATATGAAATAATTTTACTGCCATTACTATCGTTGCAACAATGACATATATATGTTTCATGCTAAGAAGGAAATTTTTCATTAGCTATTGCCCAAAGAGAGCTAAATTATACTTTAAACATCACGCATAGTAATAGTGTACTAAAAATATCTTGTATACCAACAAGAATTATCTATTTTTATTCGGTTAATTTATATTTGCGTTTGTATCTCTCCCGAAATTGCTATCATTTTATCTTATTTGCTATGTTGATACCTTAGCCACCTTACGTACATCAGAGATAGGTATATCGACAGATTACCAATCAATCGAAATGGTAACAGTGAACGAAGGACAAACCATCGCCCACAAAGACTTCCACGAGAATGACATTCTTGGACATTTTAATTAACCTCGGCTCTCGATCTAATCTCATATTGACCCTTACTAGCACATTACTAGCTATTAGCCGTAGATGTAAAAAGGGAGTGACAATTACGCAAATACTATTTACTTTCTTCCTTTATTTCAAGGATTTTGTGTAAGACATCAAATTTCTTCTTGAGCTCGACTTTAGTTGAAAGCAAAGCAATAAACAATTCTTTGAAACTAATATTTTGCGAAATTACGTAAGTTATTAAAATACAAGTTACGCGACGTAGGCATAACATTTTCAGGTCATAATATTATTAAAATAAAATTTTCTCTAATATTCTCATTTTAAAGACAATTTATAAAATATCTAACTGCGATGCGAGCAGGAGAGTGCTCTCTCTCTCTCTCTCTCTCTCTCTCTCTCTCTCTCTCTCTCTCTCTCTCTCTCTCTCTCTTTCTCTCTCTCGTACTCCATTGTCAACGTTATAAATATCCCCTTCAGTCAAAATAGTAAAGTGGACAAATGAACAGCATGTACTCGCAATGAAAGCAATGACAGTTACGCTGGCACTCACCGAATTTTTCTTCAAAACTCGAATATTTCAATATATTTGTGCATGATACATATTTTCACACAAATTTCATTTTAGTTTCTTTTTAATAAATAATACAATGAATAAATAAATTTGTATCCGAGTTCACAATTGTTACTTGCACCCTCGAACGACATTCGTCGGAGTGTAATAAACGCGTTATTACGACGATGACATTTCTTATTTAGAAACAGATGAAACATACCATTCTATCAATATTGGCCTATGCAACGGTATTCGATCAGCTATTCGTATCAGTAGTACCTTTAAGTTATAAGAAAGTCACCAATTCTTATAACATGTATATGAAATGAGCCATTGATCAGCATGGATCATTTAAGTCTTTCTTAGAAAAGTTTTTTGTAGAAACAACCGAGCGTAAAGGATTGACAGGACGATATTAACCACGTATCAATCGCTGTCAGCCATCCGATAATCCTATTGGAAATTATTCAACTCTGAAAGGCTTGCGTAAAAAATCCGATCTATCAGCGTCATCTAATATCAATCACGATATTTCGACTTTAACGATATTTTCAATTTTCAATGCAATATACCTATATAGATTACATATACATTATAAATCGGCAAAATATTAAATCTGAATTTCCGAAATTTTTAATTATCATTTTGAATATTAATGATTTTATTATTAATTTCAAATTAATACTTTATTTTATAATTTCACTACATACGAGTACATATTAATAGTACGTATTAAAAATCTTATAATTTAGTTATTGAAAAACGTAAAATCTTTTCGTCGCGCTACAATTAAACGTGATAAAAAGCAGTATATAAAAAAATACATAAAATGTATAAAACATCTTTAAGACACATAACTAACAAAAATTCACAATATCCAGTGATAAAAAGCGACGAGGAAGATATAGCTATTTTGTTGGAAAATTTCAGCTACGATTTTCCCTTAGTCTCCAGCACGAAGAGACCCGCTCGATAGAGACGTCATTGCAGTCTCGACGTCTTCGCATTGTGCAGCGTTCGTTTTATTAGAGTCATGTAGAAGAAAGAATATAGAAGAGCGTGAACATGAATCCAAAATACGAGACCGTAAATGATTTGGAGGTAAAATATGTGACAAACACTAAAAAAATCGAGCAGAACCGGAAAATACGTATAGAAAGAAAATTGACGCGCAGAATAGATATCTGTAACCAGTGATGTCAAATTCAGATATATTTTATTATCAATTAGTACTAACTCAAAACTATATAAGTAATTTTTATATACCGAATAAAAGCTTTTATCGACAAATAAAAAGAAAATAGATTGATCTAAGAAATCAATAAAAGAAAGATGCCAAAGTTTAAATTTACTAAAAATTGAAATGTAAACTTTATAGATTTCTTCATTTTTTAACTAATTATAAGCAAAAAAATTAAAGAAAAGAGAGGTCCCAAAATATAGAATTTCAAAGGCAAATATAAACATAAAATATTAGAACTTTTCAAAAAAAAAAATACCAATAAAAAAAGAATAATATAATATACAGTGCATATATGCGATGCATTGATTAACAAACCTAGTAATTCATTGCCATTGGTGCAAGAATGACAGTCCGTTAATACGCCTGTGGTATCTTGCTTTACACAATATACGGTTCGCCCTTTGACCTTCTATTCATGTAATTAGCTTTCAGGAATATTCTCTTTCTTTCTCTCCCTTTCTGTTTCCTTCACATACAGTATCCCTTTCTCTCTTCCATTCTCTCTTTTTCATTGCGTGTATCTCTGGATTGTTATACTGTTGATAATGTAAAATTGCGACGCTCTAAACTCGAGTGTTGCATTCATACTTTGTATTAAATTTATATTTTATTATATACTAAAAAAAAACTTAGTAGAGGTAAGTTAGATGTGTAGTGAATTTAACGGGAATAATGTAGAATGATAAACAAGGAAAAAATGGATGTTAAATATAACCAGAGAGAGAGAGAGAGAGAGAGAGAGAGAGAAACAAAGAAAAAAATATTTAACCTAAGAAATTAATTAATAATAGCACATTTTAAAAATTTAACATCTGTTTTTGTCGCTCATAGTACAGCAATATTTTTTACTGCAATCCTCCGATAGTCAAAAGTAATTGGACCATAAGGCCAAGTAAAAAGAGGTAAATTCTTCGTGAAATTACTTTATATGCTAAAGTTGACTTTGGTATTTCTTTGATGTCGAAACCATAAGATGAATACAATATATAGATGATATTTGTCGGAGAAATTGTGTAATTTTTTAAAGGACCAACTAAAAAGTATTTGAGTTAAAGTCCGGACAAAAGAGCAAAATAACCAATAAAATAAAATTTAGATGATGTAAAAGATTCACATCTTAAATAAGTGAACAACTAAATTTCTTATCTAATCTTTCTTGTAATAATTGAATAAGAGAAAATTATTTAATTTTGTACATTTCTCAGAAGCTACATACATTTACAAATTTTAGAAAAATTCGCATTATTATTGTTAATCTAATTAAAACAAGAAATAACAGTTTAAAAAAAAGCAAATAAGCATGTTTATTTCCGATTAATAGCGACATGCCGCAGAAAACAATCCTTCGGTTAGGATACACATTGTTGTGATAATCAACTAAAAAATCGTATGATTGCATTTTCGCCTTGGGGATATTGCATAAAAACAATCTCGCAAGACGCTCTAGGCATTAAATATAATATTTACAGAAAGAGAATCGACCCATTTACGGCGACGAGATGAAATTGAAATTATGGAAAGTAAAAAGAGAAGCGCGCTGTCGAGAAAAATGTGAGAATTGCCAGAGTAACACAGTCACATATTATGAAAAGAAAGAAGTGAGACGAAAAGAAAGGAGCAAACAATGCTATACATGACATGAAAAACAATTATTTAACTATATTTATACATACTTATATACTTGTATCAGTTTTAAGATGCACTTTCGCGCATTCGTGCTAATTTTGTAAATACAGACAAGTGTACAGGTTGTACTAAAAAAATTATGTAGAAAAATAGAACGACAATCACTTGATAGATTGATTATAAAGGATCGATATCACGTGTCATCCGCAAAGTCATCGATCACTTCCGTCACCATCACTACATTACTACAACTCTCGAGATGTCATTTATAGCTTATATCTAAAAGAGTAAGTCGATTCACCGACCCGTGGCTTTTAGCGCACCAGCCGCGTGCAACAAAAGCGAATCACACTTGACGGTGAACGCAACAAAGTCTCCCGCGGATGATGCGCCGATCGCAAATGTCAAACAAGAAAAATGCCGGACTCAGCTCAAAGTGGGTCGTGTCGACAAAGAAAGCGAGGCGAGACGAGGCCTCCCGCACGTTTTTCCGATAGCTTTTATCCGCGCAGTTATGTCGGTTGGTTTCGTCTTTCTGGCGCGTTGTGGAAACGTGCCATTTGGTATTCAGGCCTCGACGCCCACCCGATATAATATGCCAAACGTTGCGCGCCGTCCCGAGACGAAGAGGCCGAATAATATCCGAGCGGTAGATCATACTCTCGCGAGCCGATATTTGCCTACGCGAATCAGTGCGTATGACCGCTCTCGGTAATCTCAATGATGACGACAAGCTTCTCGTCGCGAAACAACAAAGATAAAGAAAATGTTACTCGCATTACCGCCAAATACACAAGGTGACCAAGACAGGACGTTTTGATTTTCGAGGACATATCCTCCTTTCCTTTTGGATATCCTCAAATGTCTCCAGATGTTCTGGCAAACGTTTCAAATTGCTCCTAATTTTTCAAACTTAGCCCGTGATTAAAGACTGTAGTGAGCGCGCGGCCGGGCGAGATTGATGTTTCTCACTGAACGGGAATGTATGTTTTAGGCACGTCTTCGACAGAAGAAACGAAATTGAGTTTCATACATAGATATAATGGGCTCATCGATGGTAAGTCTTTAACAGGCAGTGTCGAAAGTACCTGCGGCTACTTAAATGTGATGTGTTACACTTAGAGATATATAGATGACTAGCGATGTGAACGACTGATTGTTCTATGTGATGATAGAGCAGAACACTAGAGAGCAATATTATTCTTCGAGTTTGCAAGTGTCGACATTGTATTGTTATCTGTTTGTTTTTTCGTAGAAGCTTCACATGGTCAGCTAAGCATGATGTTTACAATTTCGTCTACACGACGATCCACATATTAAAGAAACAATTAGTTATTTTTTAAAAATGGCCGAGCGTAACTGTGATAGAAACGTTATCACTTACAACTGCTAAAATCTCCGTAATAAATATATTTTTGCTATATTAAAACGGATTCAGACCAATCAAACGAATGCAAACAAATGTGAATGAAGAATTTGCTTCAATGAGTAAAAATCAGTACGTCTGTACTCAGAGAGTATGCTATTTGTATTGAAGCAAGTTGTTTATTCGTGCTTGTTTGCGCTTGTTTTCTTGATTTAGTGTTAGGTATACACTAGAGTTTCGTTCCGATAATAATCGGAAGTCTATTTAGATGCTTTTTCATCTTGCTATCATCATCTTCATTTAAAATTTACATTAACATTTTCATGGACTTTTGCAAACAAATATCACGACACGAAATTAAACTTTCTTAAACCTCTCACGAATGTATTATTATTAAGCTTTCTCGGGAAATGATATTACACTTTTTTTTTTAATTTTGTTGTTGCATATTTTCTGAGGAAATAACATCTGAGACATTCCAATATTATTCTGAATAACTATTCGTATGCGACAGATACAAAATGGTGCCTCCGATCGTAACTTGTTGCGGATTATGTTTCCCTTCGGCACATAAAACACATACCGCATTTGACATGCTTGTAGTAAGTAAAAGAGCTCTATAAATAAGGATATATCCTTTATACACTAACTTACCAACGCGAAGCTTAGAATGACACGAATAGATTCTAGCATTTATGTACAACTTTATCTTTTGCTATATATATATATAAATACCGTAAAAATCCTAATTTAATTAAAGTTAATATGTAAAATAGAGAAATAATATTCTAATTAGGATACATAATTTTTCAATATGTTACACACACACACACACACACACACCACAAGCATATATATATTATTTCTTTCGGAATTTCTTTCAAAGAGATAATTATTTAAACTATTCATTATTTCTATATTGAAACCCAAGACAAACTTAGCTCGACTGTCTCGAATTTTTTTTTCTCAAAATTTTTCATTCGCTGACTAATCTGTTGCGGTTCCAGGTTTTTTTTTATGAATCTCCGTAAAATATCTACTGAATTTGATATGGAGATGGAAGATCCTGTAAAAATGAAACCCATTCGATGAACGAAGCAAAGTCTTCCAGATCAATGCAAGATGAAAAGGACCGGCTTTATTAGGGATTTAAGATGAGCAAGTTTTAGTAAATTACAGGATTTACAGATATCAACTCTTACTGAATAAAATTTCTACATATGTACCATATGAAAATTTTTCTTAAAACCAAGTCGTAACCTGGAATCTATCTAGTTTGGAATATTGCCAAGCGGCGATTAATTGAAAATCAGGAGGCCTGCGTTTCTTCGATAATATATTATCATGTTGCTATATCGTAATGTAGTAAGATATTAGGCATTATAGTTCTATAGTTGAGAGAGAGTGTCGATAAATCGGAAAGGTAACTTATCAAAAACCAAATTTTATAAACAATAAATTAAGAATACACAAAGAACAAATCATTTGGACAAATTATCGTTAATGACTGCTATGAAATCACAATACCGATTTAAATTCAATTTACTTACAATTGTTGATAATTTATAATGCCTTTCGTAATTTTATCACTTTTCACTGAAGAAGAAATGTACCTTTCTTTCACTTTTATCTGTGTTTTTGTCGTTAACTTTGAACAACATTCGTCGCGAGTACAAAAGACTCAGAAGTGGTTGTGCGACTTTCCACTGCGAACTTTGTTCTCAAGAACCTGACACTTTGCGACAGAACGATAGAGAACCTTTAAATGAAACTTAAAGCAACTCGAGGGAGGAGCAAGTAAACGTCCAAGAACGCTAATTTATCGAAATCTATGACGAAGACATGTCGCTCGAGTATCTCGGTATTGATTTCAGAGATTCGAGGAGGAATCATTTGAATATGAACACTAAGCCTGCTATATGAAATTTTTCATTTAGTTTTCGCGATATTACGATATTGGATAGTTCCTACATATCGAGAACGTGAAAGACTTTAGAAGCCATTTGAGGTAGATGGGTATAAGATATGTAGCTGCAACCTGCGCCGGTATAGCATCATAAATATTACGTTAACCATCTTACAGTATCTATACGTGCAATCTTATTTACTCCTTACCATCTCACTGCATCTCGATGACTATCGTAAAAGGAAATCGTTTAAAATGTACATTTTGTAACGCGCGTTAATTTCAGAACGCGATTGCTGCTTCGCAGAAATTTCCACCCTCGCGTGTATCATTTAAGAAGCTTTTCCGTCTCGCTTTACCTCTACCTCTACCTTGTAATCTGCGGCTTTTATCTTCGAGCGTACCTTGTATTTCATACCACCGCTCTTGCGTCGCCACGTTGGTACATTTCTCTCAAGAAAGATATTAGGCACAGCATCCAACTTGCTAGACGATGTATGCGGTAGATAATAATATTGTATTATTATACTAGACAAAGAACACGTTCATAATGTTAACTTACAAAATAATTTTGTATTCCGTTGCCCTGTCTATATGCCTTCACATGGTACTTTTAACTTCTATCTTTAGCTACTATCTAACACGCGTGACGTATTTAGCATATTTATAATCGCTGCAAGTATTTGTTGCTCAACTATCGCGAGTTCCGTATTGACGACGTATCATGGCCGAATGTCTCATGCAAGACAGAAATCCTTTGCTACTCAGAAGGGCGAGAGAATGCACGTACTAGTTGAGTACCTATGTACTTCCGATTGTATGTCTTCGCGTACGCACATATTCCATCGATGCCATGTAGAAATACATACGTATCTTAGCCAGGGCTTTGAAATCGAGAATTCAGGAGAAGTAAATGTATCTTTAGGATAAAATTTCCTATTTTTTCTCTTAAAAAAAAAAACAATCATTGTCACGCTGAAAGATTTCTTTTTTTATATCGCTCGATAAAAAGATTCTTCGAACAGGGACTATCGCAAATATATATAACGATCATGTTGTTTCTCCATTCGGTCATTCCGCAACCTTAAGTCATTTTTTTTCTTGCACTATCTAATTCTTTTTCTCATCTCTTTCCAGGTCCCTTCATCTCCTAGGTAATATTTCTCATTCGTGACATTTCGTTCCTGATGTCTCTTATCAGGGATTATTTTGTTATTGATAGCGCCGAGACAGCGTGTTCCTCATAAATGACTTTCTCATTAACCACGAAGTACATAAAATTGTGTCTTATGGTTAACCATATTTTCCTTTTTTATTTCAATAATAATTACGCTGTCGAGAGATAATTACGCTAACTCTCACCCTTCTGTGAAACACTCTAATTGTGTCACGTATCAATTCCGAAATTTTCCGAAACGTATCCGATGACGACAGTTCCATTATTCGTAATCATGTTATCCTGTTGTATTCAGTGTCGAGGTGAGAGCCCTAGATAAGACATAGCAGGATTATCTAATTTCCAATCACGAGTGACTACAAGTCAATCTTATTATAACGCTCTATCGAAGCACTTCACGGTCGGCGATAGTATCGAACGTATGTGTTAAAACCAACGTGAGAATCGAAGAGCTACATTAAAGGCCAAACATGCAATATGAATATGAAGCTTTCGAATTTTATCTCTACGCGAACTTTGACGCCAGAACCTGAGCTTTGATTTCATAGTGCCGGAAATTTACCAAATACGTAATTATAATATCTCCATGCATTAATTGTATTCTACGAACGCCTACGAAAAGAATTTAATGCTTAAAATAAAATGCTCTGTAAGTTATAATTACTAATATTAATAATATCATTTTATTACGATTATTCAACAAATTGTAATAACGAATAATATTTAATAATAATAGGAATAATGTCCTTATTAGAAACATTAAAAATCAATAAAGCCATGTTTGTGTAATAAATGTTTAAACACATCTTATCAATAATTAGGTATAAACAATTTATTCGCTATAGATTTATATATATATTCTCTCACTCTCTCTCTTTCTCTCTCTTCTTTCCTTTCTTACTATTCCCTGTGCGCAAACTTTCATAATAAGAAATCATGTTGACATAAAAAATTATCATCGACATTGTCTCTCGGTTTCTATCGAACTCTCGTTAGGAACAAGGATCTCCCGCGCTTTTTAAGCGGATAAAGAGAGGCAAAAAGTGAACGTGCTCCTGGACGGTGCACCACGGAGCACGTAAAAACACGGTCTATCGAACCGCAAAAACCGATCCCCAAGTCATTCTCAGCTACCGTTTACGCATGAGGTCAGACAAACGTGTCGCATCAATTCGAGGATGACTAAGGTCGAAAATAAGATGGCTCGACTCGATGTCGAGCGCAAAAATTGAGATTTCGCGGGCGAAAGTACGGGGCTGCCGACGTATTGATTCTCGGTCGGTGGAGAGAGGCAGCGCGCCTGTGCCCGGCAGCCGTTCGTTCGTTCACGTAGACCAAGAGCGAGAGCGAGAGCGGGAGCGAGAGGGTAATAGGCGGATTCGGGGTGGGAATACCAGTGCGAGAGTGAGACCGATTCACACAGCCGCACTCGTCGTTCCCCGTGGATCCTGCCACCGAGTCGCTGCTTCCGAGTCCAGTCTTCCCCTAGGCACTCGGCAGGCCGGTACCTGTTTCTCGAAGCCGACACGCGCTCCGTCGTTCTCGCGCGCACACATACACACGTATACACCCCTTGCGTACGTCACTCGTCCTCATATATAAATACATATATGCTCCTCTTACGGTTCAGCCACTCACCCTTGCGAAACAACGTCGCGTACTCGCGTACGGACACGTGTGCCTAAGTGTGCGTACACACACAAGTGATACGTGCACACAGACACGTATACACCCATATATTCATTTTTCCTAAAAACACACATACAACACAATCACACATACATCTATACATACACAACGCACACATACACACACACACACACACACACACACTACACACATATATATATATATACATACATACATATCGTGTCAATAATCGCGCAATCAACGACACGCGCACAGGTATAGATACGTGCCGCGGTGTATGCACACGAGCTAGAAAGCAACGTCAGAAAAGGGCTGAAAATTGCGTACAGATGCATACGCACATCAGCGCGGCTCACATGTCGTCCGCCCACACTGTGTACGCGCGCACGCGAGACAGCAGCGAGTCGTGCACCCTGAACAACGAGCGGTCGTCGTCATCGTTGATCGTCAATCACGCGCGCCGATCCGCGTGGGAGCAGATTTCTCGTACAGCCTAAACGACCGCCGTGATCGTCCCGATCTGAAGATCCTTCAATTTGTCGCAGGCATAGTGCAGCTTTGCGAAAAAGATCGGTCCGGCTCGAAGACCGGATACACGAACGAAGATAACGATTATTGGAACACGCCGGGTCCCGGAGCGCCACTCCGAGGAGTAAACTCTCTCGAAACTCGGAGTTTCCAACAGACGACGCCAAGGCGTCTTCGAGTGAAGTAACCCCATAGCGTCGAAACAGCACGTCAACGATCGTTTCAACGAGGACGAAACCAGAGAAGCCTAACTGAGAGAAAGATCGCAAGGATCAGCAACAATTCACTTTGCCGTCAACGGGTCATGTACCTCGTCGAGAGGGTGACGACGAACTTGCAAGAGCTCGGCTCGACACGGCGACCTCACTTACCTGGAGACAAGTTCTGGACCTGTAGTAGCAGCCTAAACAACCAGTGATCTTCCTACAGATATATAGAGATATATATATATATATACATATTGCACATACTCGACCGTTGCACGCGCGTCTATTTTTGTTGCCACCGTCACGCGCCGCGCAAGAAAGCGGCTTAAGGAACGGCGGAATATCGAAGAGTTCCAAAGTATCACTTGTTAACGAACACGACATCACCTGCACCAAGGGAAAGAAAAAGAGAAAAGTAATATTTCTATACATATAAGAGAAGAGCATACATATCTTAATGACGTTGACGATTCATAGTATATTTTGATCATACGAAAAGACGAAACGAAAAGTCGATGGCTAAAGAGAGGAGCAAAAAGGAGACGAAGATATAACCGAAGACAAAACAATCGTGACAGGCACAATAATAAACGACCTTAAAGAACAGAATATAGTATAATTAAAGATAGATTAAAAAGACTATTATAGTGCGGTAAGACTATAAGACGGGGTCCCGGTGGTTCCGTATCGTTGAAATTTTGTATGCCGGCGGTGTATTATCGACGAGGAAGCATGTACGAGGGCGGCATGGCTGGTGAACGACAGGTATGTTGCCGCAATATAATTACTCACTGCAGATTTATCGAAATTATTAAAAGTTTCAACATATTGCCCATCGGAAAAAGATATTTTTAGTCGTCGATGTTTTAATTATTATTATAATTATGGATATTATACGCCATATCACATTTTAAACGTAACACTAACAAATATAATAAATAAGTGCCTACGATAAATGTGTTCTTTATGGATGCATCAATTCTTCTTATTTCACATTTCGAACATTGTACTTGACATTTAAAGTGCCACTTTATGTGCCAGCTTACATAACATACAAGTGTATTAAAGCGTAAGTTTATTATATATAATGTACATACCGACTTCTGAAACAAGCTACATAATTTTTCCCTTAAATCTAAATTATAATCTAAAATCCATTTCAACATATGAACCTCTTTACATTCGTAAGAATAAGAAATATGTACAAGTTAAATGAAACCTTTTAATATTCTCAGACTAAATCAACGTATCCTAATGAATGTAGCATAATTCTAAAATGAATTTGGCCATTTAAAAACTTTAGATGTCTCTTTAGAATAGAAGAAAAAGCTTTAAGAAAATGCCAAGCCTCCTTAGAAACCAACGGAAACGTTATAAAGCTTCGCCAAGAGGGTTACACTTTATCGCATAGGTATGACTTAAAGCTGATTTGGAACTCTTTGTTCAGCATTAAAATAAAAAGAAGGAAATTAATGAACGTCGGAAAAGCCTCGAGCCAAAGTATAAAACTGTGATTTACATTTTAAGTACATATTTCTTAATTTATTTTAAACACGCAAAATTCATTGTCCTTAAGATTGTAGAGCAATTACTTTTGAGAGTAATTCGTGAAATATTTAATCAAGTTTTAATTCAATCAAATAAAATAACAAAAATCATATATTCAAGATGTTGATAGAAAAATGTATATAATTGAAATAATTAAAGCATGATTAATAGACAATATAAAATATTTATCTCAATTATGTTTAATTACATTGAATTTTAAAAATAAACAAAAACTGTGTTTAAACCATTCTGAATTAAGTTGAAGAACTAACACATATATATGTTAATTTATATTTCCATGCGGATATAAATTCTTGTAAAGTATCACTTTGAAAAAGATAACTCACTCGCAAAGATTGAACTTATGTCAGAAAGATTCTTTGTTTTTTTTTTGTAGCAGAAATTTCATAAAAATAATATGTTAACGAGTCAATGAATAATTATATTTCCTTCCGCAATGCTAATGTAATGTGCAGAGAAATGTATAAATTTTCCAAACAAATAAAATTCTTTTTTTTTTTTCATTTTGTACAATATCTTTATAAACGCAAAACAAATTTTCATTATGACACAATTCGAATTAACTGGTCTTTATATCAGTTATAAAAATTTTTAATTAATGTGAAAACATTTTAAAAAAATGTCAATTCTGACAATTACATGAGTGTGCAAAATTAATTACTTTTTTTAATAAAGCACATTTTTCTACTAAAAATGTTATTTGAACATGACCTCGATTCTCTCTTAAGCATTATCGTGAATGATTCATTCAATAAGTATTACTTAAAGGTAGAGGACCTTTATGAACGAGGGATAAAGGCCATTAGTCAGTGTCAAGTTGACCGTGATTATTTTAAAAGTCATTCTTGGAAAATTTCACAAGAATATAGCAAACTAAAGTTTAACAAAACCATACGGCTAGAAGGTGGAGTCTATAGGTGAAATTTTCACCATAAATCTTGATAGACTTCTCCATATGGAAAGAGCAGATCGTTGCATCTCAAAGTGCTTACGGTGAGATGGATTCGCGTTATAATCGATTTTCCCCGAGGCTACCGATATTTACAGCAAGCGCATTTACCTCCTGTATAAAATATCGTTGTATGCGTTGAATCGAAGAACGAAAGAGAAGAGTTCGTGCGATTAAAATTGCACCTACTTTGGTAGCAAGTGTAATTGAGCTTCGCGAAATCTAAATTGAAATTGGTGGGCGGAAGTTAGAGAAACGTCGAAAGAAAATTGGATGCCAAATTGACGCGAAATAACATTCTCGTAAATTCATGGAAACCATTTCAAATTCACGTATCTATTTACACCTGTAACAATTTGCAATAATTTCTTCCAACTGCGGGTTTTCCGAGTAGTGTGTATGCAATCTATCGCAATTACAAGTTTCTTATAAGAAATTAAATTCTTCGTTTAAAAAAAAAAGCTTTATCAGCGTAACACATCTCCAAAATATAAATTATTTAGGAAGACCTTCTCTCGACAATCGATTATTTCGTTTAAGCGGTATTATTTTAAACAAAAATCCTTTCAAATAGAGCCACTTTCCTATCTCATTGTGCATATATATACACACGAAACGCTATCAAACTCTTGAACTCTCTCATGTTACGAAGGCTTCCCGGAGGAAATTACTCTTCTGGCATGATCCGTATAATATAAACGAAAAACTAAACAAAAATTTTCAGCTCAATTTGTAGGCAAAATCGTGAATTATCCGTAGAAGTCAGTTTAAAACAAAATTTTGACAAAATCAAATGTTATGATATTAGCGCAATCTTCTGACATTCAATGACTTTATACAAATTATTTTTAATACATATTTTAAGAGTTGTAACAATATATTAGATATTAAAAAAACTAATGTGACGTAAAATCTAATTAATAAAATGATATGTTATAACAAAGGATACAAAGATATTGCCTTTTCGACAATTTAATATATCTTATTATTATAACAAAAATCATCTTTTTGTAATAAATAATTGTATAATAAAGGTATAATAATGTAATGAAATTTATAAAATGATACAAATTAATTTGAACGATCAGAGTTATGTTTTCCAATGGATCGTGATGTTAATTATCTACGTTTGAAAATATGCATTACGATACTGACATGAGTATTAATAAAGTTGTGAAGCGTCGGAAATAAAACCGTGTGACTTATCCGGGAAGCTCATCTACGTGCTTTATAATTTAAAGTCACGCAAGTCTATTAACACTTGTGTCAAGCTCACACGCTACACGTGTCAGCCTAATCTTTTCGATGATCGCGATATTACAAGCTCCTTCACGCGGTTCAGCGATAACATTTACAATTTTTGCGTGTAAATTTTAATGTTCCATCGAAAAATGCGTAACCATGCATCCTATTTCTCTCGTAGTGGAAATCTGACTTGCATTACATTTGTGTAGTCCATCAGAAACGAGTTACGAGAAGAGATTTATGCGCCATTCGCACGATAGTAAAACGGAGGACGAGAAGTTCATACTTTTATCATAACAACAAACCCGGTGGTCTTGTAATTTTCAACGATTAAAAACATGTCATTTGCAAAATGAGTTTCTGCCACTTGTCACAAACACTTTATTTAATTTGATGTGCTCATTTAAACCTAGCATCTAAAAATCGTCTGTATTCAAGTGATGTATTAACAAACACATATTCAATAAATGCAACAAATTAATTTAAATTAATTGCAGAATTAATGACAAAATTAAAAGAAAAATATTATAATAAAACAAAGAATCACAGGATACCAATCAAGTAACTTTTTTCTTAAGGCGGAAACGTGAAAAGTAACAAATTTTTTACAATGAAAGTTAATACAAAAATTTTTTATTTGCTGTCAAATTAAAACCGAAAAGAAATATTTTACAGTTTAAAACAATAACAATATAAAGATTGTAGTTATTCAGTTTGCTAGTTTGTAGAAGAAAAGATGAATTTAGAAATACCGATACGAGTCTGCTTAATTCTGGAGCGAATATCATATAATTAATATCATATAACTATGAAAAAAAAACTGTTTAATCGAATAGCCTTCAACGACAGTTTCAAGGGAGGAAGAGAATCTCGTGGCATATCTATGGAATCGCCTGGAATCCAATCACGAATAAACGGATTACCGTAACCCAAGGCCTGCTCTATCTTTATTTATACAACAACGTCGTTAACTGGGACGGGCTGTATGAAGAGGACTTTCATAAAACTAATATATTCACAGTTACATGGATGGAGGAATTCGTACAGGATGTACCTATTGAGAATGTATTTATATAATTCATTTAGGATATAGAGATTATAGAGTATTCATCAATTTAGAAGATATTGATAAAAATATAAACAATAAGATATTAATTTTTATTAAAACAATGTTAAAAAAGACAATCCGTCAACTATTAATTTTCAGATAAATTACGTGTAATGTAATGTATACCGTTTAAAAAGCTAGTGTGTACTATGTAAAAAAAATCATCCACGTACATGACGACAATGAAAAAAATGCGTACGGAGTGTAGTACACTCGGTACAGTACTCACTCGTCTAGCTGATGTAATGCGTTATGCGTACATGTAAACTTTCTATAACGACTCACCGAGCTAACATAAACTTCGTGTCAATGGAACTAATGTTTTCGCCATAATTAATTATATATATAAATATCATCGCGAAAAGCGCGCATTCCATTAACACAAATAAATGCTCTTGCGTGAAATCATAAGAGATTGCAATTGTCGAGCGATCCGTACAATAATTAGTAAGGCATTAGAGATAAACATTAACATTAATAATTATTTAAGCAGAATTCCTAAGCTTCATATAGAAAACAAACAAAAATATTAAAAAAAAACCTTTTAAATATTAATAAAGCAAATGTTATTAATGAAAAATACATTGAAATAAATTTAAAAATTTTATTTCTTTTTATTTTTAATAATATGAGTTTGAATATCTCGAGAACGAGTATAAATTTAAATATCTTAACTCTGCAACCTGCAATCTATATTATTTTACACTTTTACAGGATTGAAAAGATGCTCATTAGCGAATTATTAAATCACAAACAAATTATTAAATTGTTTTGTTAATTTAATTTAATTGTGATATTATATATACGCACTCCGGATTTAGTTTAGAGCTGCATTTTAAGATCGACAATATTCGGCACGTAGTTTGCTTCAACCGAAAATTGTAAGATTTCCAT